CGACTGAAAGCGATTGGTTTCGCCCAACGTGCATGAGTTTTATTGTTTGTTTATTCCTCATTCAGCTGGTGTCGTTTACTCTGTACCAACTGTAACTTCAACTCTTCTGTCACTCCATTCCATCTTAGAACGACACAGAATAGCATGGAATAAAGGAATGACAACACCCTACAGACTAGGGTGATCACAAATGAAGACTTAACTGTATGTGGGTCATCGTGCCCAAACATTTAGGATCACCCCCTGGCGCAGATAGAGCTGTCATATGCAACATTCATCCACTCACTAAAATGTCACAGTGAACCGGATCTGCAGGCACACCAACCTACGGCAACTTTGGGATTGTGTGGAAACGTGATCAGCAATTTCCCCTTATCACGTGTAAATGAAAATGTCGAGGGGAAACAGCTCGGCGAGTAAGTCATTTGGTTACTACCTATAATAATGTATGGTGTCTACTGATGTATGTGTCCATGTGCGGTGTCTACTGATGTATGTGTCCATGTGTGGTGTCTACTGATGTATGTGTCCATGTGCGGTGTCTACTGATGTATGTGTCCATGTGCGGTGTCTACTGATGTATGTGTCCATGTGTGGTGTCTACTGATGTATGTGTCCATGTGTGGTGTCTACTGATGTATGTGTCCATGTGTGGTGTCTACTGATGTATGTGTCCATGTGTGGTGTCTACTGATGTATGTGTCCATGTGCGGTGTCCTCTGATGTCTATGATGTAATGTGTCCATGTGTGGTGTGTGTGCATGTGTCGGTGTCCACTGATGTATGTGTCCATGTATGGTGTCTACTGATGTATGTGTCCATGTGTGGTGTCCACTGATGTATATGTGTCCATGTGGGATGTCCACTGATGTATGTGTCCATGTGTCCACTGATGTGTCCTCTGATGTATGTGTCCATGTGCGGTGTCCTCTGATGTATGTGTCCATGCATGTTCGGTGTCCACTGTTGGTGTGTATGTGTCCATGTATGGTGTCTACTGATTTATGTGTCCATGTGTGGTGTCCTCTGATATATGTGTCCATGTGTGGATGACCTCTGATGTATGTGTGCATGTATGGTGTCCTCTGATATATGTGTGCATGTTCGGTGTCCACTGATGAATGTGTCCATGTGGGTGTGGTGTCCATACTGATGTATGTGTCCATGTGCACCTGATATATGTGTCCATGTATGGTGTCCTCTGATTTATGTGTGTCCATGTGCGGTGTCCTCTGATATATGTGTGCATGTATGTGTGGTGTCCACTGTAATATGTGCCCATGTGTGGTGTCCACTGATGAATGTGTCCATGTGGTGGTGTCCTCTGATGTATGTGCATGTATGTCCATGTGTGTGTGGTGTCCACTGATATATGTGTGTCCATGTGTCCATGGTGTCCTCTGATATATGTGTCCATGTGCGGTGTCCTCTGATGTGTGTCCATGTGGTGTCCTCTGATATGATGTGTGGTGGTGTCTACTGATTGAATGTGTCCATGTGTGGTGTCCACTGACTGATGTGTCCATGTGTGTCCATGTGTGGTGTGGTGTCTCTGATATATGTGTGCATGTTCGGTGTCCACTGTTGAGTGTGTGTGTGTGTGTCCTGATGTATGTGTCCATGTGTGGTGTCCTCTGATATATGTGTCCATGTGCGGTGTCCTGATGATATGTCCATGTGCATGTGTCCATGTGGTGTCCATATATGTGTGTGTGTGTTCGGTGTCCACTGTTGAATGTATCCATGTATGGTGTGCACTGATTTATGTGTCCATGTGCGGTGTCCTCTGATATATGTGTGCATGTTCGGTGTCCACTGTTGAGTGTGTCCATGTATGGTGTGCACTGATTTATGTGTCCATGTATGGTGTCCTCTGATATATGTGTGCATGTTCGGTGTCCACTGTTGAATGTATCCATGTATGGTGTCCACTGATTTATGTGTCCATGTGCGGTGTCCTCTGATATATGTGTGCATGTTCGGTGTCCACTGTTGAATGTATCCATGTATGGTGTGCACTGATTTATGTGTGCATGTGCGGTGTCCTCTGATATATGTGTGCATGTTCGGTGTCCACTGTTGAATGTGTCCATGTATGGTGTGCACTGATTTATGTGTGCATGTGCGGTGTCCTCTGATATATGTGTGCATGTTCGGTGTCCACTGTTGAATGTGTCCATGTATGGTGTCTACTGATCCATGTGTCCATGTGCGGTGTCCTCTGATATATGTGTGCATGTTCGGTGACCACTGTTGAATGTGTCCATGTATGGTGTGCACTGATTTATGTGTCCATGTATGGTGTCCACTGTTGAATGTATCCATGTATGGTGTGCACTGATTTATGTGTGCATGTGCGGTGTCCACTGTTGAATGTATCCATGTATGGTGTGCACTGATTTATGTGTGCATGTGCGGTGTCCTCTGATTTATGTGTCCATGTGCGGTGTCCTCTGATATATGTGTGCATGTTCGGTGTCCACTGTTGAATGTATCCATGTATGATGTGCACTGATTTATGTGTCCATGTCTGGTGTCCTCTGATATATGTGTGCATGATCGGTGTCTACTGATGTATGTGTCCATGTATGGTGTGCACTGATTTATGTGTCCATGTATGGTGTCCTCTGATATATGTGTGCATGTGGGATGACCACTGATTTATGTGTCCATGTGCGGTGTCCTCTGATATATGTGTGCATGTTCGGTGTCCACTGTTGAGTGTGTCCATGTATGGTGTGCACTGATTTATGTGTCCATGTATGGTGTCCACTGTTGAATGTATCCATGTATGGTGTGCACTGATTTATGTGTGCATGTGCGGTGTCCTCTGATATATGTGTGCATGTTCGGTGTCCACTGTTGAATGTATCCATGTATGATGTGCACTGATTTATGTGTCCATGTCTGGTGTCCTCTGATATATGTGTGCATGATCGGTGTCTACTGATGTATGTGTCCATGTATGGTGTGCACTGATTTATGTGTCCATGTATGGTGTCCTCTTATATATGTGTGCATGTTCGGTGTCCACTGTTGAGTGTGTCCATGTATGGTGTGCACTGATTTATGTGTCCATGTGCGGTGTCCTCTGATATATGTGTGCATGTTCGTGTCCACTGTTGAATGTGTCCATGTATGGTGTGCACTGATTTATGTGTCCATGTGCGGTGTCCTCTGATATATGTGTCCATGTGCGGTGTCCTCTGATATATGTGTCCATGTATGGTGTCCACTGATATATGGTGTGTACAATACAGCGACATTCATGACAGCAAGAGCACAACCAGAACCTCTACACATTTTCACGCCCTCAACAGAACACAGTAACAGGAGAAGCGGCAATAAAATCACCCTAGATTCCCAGTCATTCATCAAGAAACGAAGACGTGAATGTATTAATAGCTCAGCAGTTTGGTTTATTCAGGTAACGATATTACACGACGTTATACGTACACATGAGCAGCACATACCTTGCTCGTTATGGTACCATTAGATAAATAGATAAATACTATATGTACAAACTCTATAACCAATATCTACGCCTGAACGCGTGGACTATGCATTTCAGCTGTAGCAAGTATTACCGTAGATCAGTATTGTGCCTACTATTCAGCATATGGGCTCCGTTGAAAGACAGCTAATATCTAATACACAAAAACGCAAATTTGTGAGCTCAGTTTCACTTAGTTATTCAGTGACAGTATTCCATAGATACGTAGACGTTTTAACTTTCAAAACGGTTTGCGCTGTGAGTGGTTACGTTCCAACTAATCGTCAAATACTTTCTACATGATGAGCGTTTGGGGTGGGTTTGGTATGTGTGTTCATATTCCGAGTTCGGATCACGCATTCAAACAAAGATATGCACCGGAGAGACGCCAAAGTGGGACCTAAGATATGTATCTTTTCAGGATTTTCACTTTATGCTGTCTCGCCGCGATATAAGTGAAATATTGACAAAGTAGGCAAATATCATTTCATTTACGCTCTCAGCACAAATGAAACAATCGTCTGATCGTAGTTAGGTGATTCAAAAGACACAAGGACGGAACCCAGTCAACAGGAAACGAGACTGTTGTGTAATCAATGTTTTGACTTGCAAGTCTGTACGGAACATGGATAGGTGCTGATTCCAGTACAGAGATTCTGGCAAAGATTGTCAAGTACAAATCAATTCAAAGAATATCGGAACTGAAGTCCAGAAGGTACCAGCGCTATGTTATCCAGTAACACTGCATATATTAATATCGATTGTCAACAAGACTAAACCTAGTCTCCTGGAGGTTCTATCACAGCACAACGTCATGGATAATCACCATGTGATACATTTTAGGCACTAAATGGCGTTAGTCAGCTGACCGCTCCGTCCATTACAGGAAACAAATATCAGTAGAAATGAACTCGGTGAAATGACACTTCGTTATTACAGACAGTCCCAGATTGCAACACATTTAAATGTATTAACACGAAGACTGTAAAAGGGCCCATAGTGAATGCCTACAAAATTATCATGCCATTTATGTATCAGACTAAATTTGGTACATCCATTCCGAAGAAATCGAAATGTCGTCTGTATGACCGCACATGGTATATACATAAATCGTCTTAACAATGTAATCGATAATCGATGATTATATAGGTTTGTTTTGTGTTTTGTCATCGGCTGGTCACCAACATCCTTCATCAGGTCCGTATTTCACAAGGGGCGGTGGGGTAGCCTAGTGGTTAAAGCGTTCGCTCATCACGCCGAAGACCCGGGTTCGATTCCCCACATAGGTACAATGTCTGAAGCCAATTCCTGCTGTCCCCCGCCGTGATATTGCTGGAATATTGCTAAAAGCGGCGTAAAACTAAACTCACTCACTCACTCACTCCATGTTTCACAAAGCGATCTGACCTCTACGATGACCGGGGCGATGGGGGAGCCTAGAGGTTAAAGCGTTGGTTCGTCACGCCGAAGACCAGGGTTCGATTCCCCACATGGGTAGTGTAACAAAACTCAGTCAGTCTACGATGATCGTAAGCCTATGTTAAAGGATGGGAGTTACGTTCACCTCAGCGCTACGACCGCTTTGGGACACGGGGAGGTGACTTAGGGCAAATCTAAAATAGCGCACCAACCCATCTCACTGGGAACAAGGAGTGAAAAGGTGTACACTATGTTCAGGGAACCACTTACCCTAAAACAGTTGACATATTTCTAAACAATATACCACGCCACGTGAACATTTATGATACCTGGCATCACTTGATCAGTCTGACGTCATCTTGACGTGACGTCACTGGAAAATGCTCAGTGCATCACAGAATTTCACTTCCTCTCTCACTATACTAACTTTCTACTAACTTTATAACTGTCCCGTCTGTTTATAACATCTCCATAGTCCCAGGGTGATCGTACTTTTGACATGTTCATAGAACGCCAACAGTTCCTATCTCCTCATAGTCTGTTATACCCCGGAGTTGATCTGTCCTCTCCCCAAGTTCATAGAACGGCAATGGTTCCTATATCCCTACATCCTGTTCATTGCTCGGAGTTGATCAAACCTATCCCTGTGTTCATAAAACGGCAACAATTCCTGTCCCTTTACATCATGTTCATAGCCCAGAGTTTAACAAACTTCTCAACATGTTCATAGAATGGCAACAGTTCCTATCTCCTCACATCCTGTTCATAGCCCGGAGTTGATCATAAAAGCAACAGTTCCTATCTCCTCACATCCTGTTCATAGCCCGGAGTTGATCATACCTCTCCCCAAGTTCATAGAACGGCAACAGTTCTGGAGGAACAGGAGGCACCTTTTCATCCATGTCCTCTTCATCATCATCCTTCACAGGCGGATTCAGTTCGTCCTCGATCGCTTTGATCACATCCAGTCTCCTGATCTTCTGTAACGCCGTCTTCAGGTCGTCGACCATGGCCCGCGTGTGATAACGTCGCCATCGGCCTAGCGCTCGTCGGGCGACAATAATCAAAGTTACCCTTGCACCTGTGGTGCTCAGCTCGCTGATGTCCCGTTCTATGGTTTCCGCGCCACGTTTGGGAAAGAAAGGTAAGTTTCTGTACACGTTCACCCAGTCCCGCTCGATAGTCCTTGAAATCACCTTGCAGGCTTTGTCGAGAGGTGCTGGAAGAATAGATCGATATCCATTAATCAAACTGAACATTTTGTATACGTGAACAAGTATTTTATTCATAATAATATTCGGTCATTCCTTCTAAAGTTGATATCGGGGATGACCCAGATTTGATTCACAACATATCATAATCATGTTGTTTATGTGCCCTGTTGTGCTAATCACGGGATAGTTTGCACCGAAAATGTAGACATGGATAATACAATCCTTATCATATGCTTCAGTTTCTAATAATGTTTATCTGGCAAACATGAAACCGTATCAGTACGTAACCCCAACCTTCCGGGTGTATTATGGCATATAGGTTTGATTTGTAACCCCCGTGTTTTAACGGCATTTCCTTCACTGTATAAACATATATAACATGTATAAAGACGAGACTTCCGGTCAGAATAGATCTAAAGTATGCCTTTACATAATTAAAACGGACCAAAGACCGTCTGATGGTAATGATCAGCGCGTTCGCTGAATAACTGTCATCGTCGCCAACAGGTTTTCCATTTGCTCATTATATCCATCACTTGTTTGTCTTGTCCCGACTCGGGGCGGTGGGTTAGCCTAGTGGTTAAAGCGTTCGATCGTCACGCCGAAGGCCCGGGTTCGATTCCCCACATGGGTACAATGTGTCCCCCCGCCGTGATATTGCTGGACTATTGCTAAAATCGGCGTAAAACCCTACGCACTCACTTGTCCCAATTCGATTACTTACACACCCGTGTTATAGCCGGAACAGCGCTACCTGCGCCGTAAAACAACAAACAAACACATCTAAGGCCACCTACTCGCCGTCTTGGCCCGGACTCCTGTGGGTCGACTGTTTCTGGCGTGTACAGGGATGCTGTAGTAGATCTTCTCCACAGCATCGTTGCTCGTCTTACACAACAGGATCCGTCTGGCCAGCTTCAGACTCTTCTCCACCTCCAGGTACTCCTTCTCCTTCCTTCCCCCTCTCTTCCCCTGCCTCCCGCAGTTCCTTCTGGATCAGCTGTATCTCTTCCTCTATCTTCTCCTGTTGGTGGGTCTTCTCCTCCACCCATTTTAACTTGTACCTGCAAGTGTAGGGTAAGGCTTAGCATCAATTTTGATTGTGTTCGGTTGTTTGAGTTAAGATATTTCGAGCTCAACAGGAGACAGTTTTCTGAGCCGCTATTGTGTCAGTGTAATGTTGTCTCCCTTTGCCCTCTTACGAAACTAAATCTAATAATATTCTGTCAGCCAAATTCCGGTTCTCGCCTTTTATATCAAAATGGTTAACGATTAGACCTTTGCTCATTCCATGACATTAAGCCACGTCCCTCTATCACTGTAGTCCTGGTCAAAGAGGCGTTAAACGCCCTCAGCAACTCCCTAGATTCCAGTTTACGCTGATTTACTGCTTTGTGTGAATTAGTCCCTTGCCTCTTAAAGTTGGATTCGTTGTATTAGGGCTCTTTTTGATGCTAGACATAAATGCCGTCATATTACCATCCTCATTTAACCATTTGAGTTTGACATTCTTTTTTCAGAAACTTGATACGAATGACAGTTATAACGATAGTCGCCCCTGTCATACTGCAGAAGTTTACTTCAAAGGCAAGACAACCAGAACACTAAAACCAGAGACCATATAATAGAGGGACGGCCCTCGAGCCAATGCGCAAAACCATCAGCGGTACGGCTTGTACTGCGCAGCCTATCCGGAAGCTGGCGAAAACGTGTGTTCACTTCAGTCATCGATTTCGCGTATTTTCATTGCAAAGGTAAGATGTAATTTTTTCGTTTATTCTCATGTACATACTTATTTTTGCAACAGTGCATCTGAGGTTTATTAGGGTGCTAAAGCATATAATTGTCTTTGTATTTGATGAATACTGTCATGTGTGCTCGTTGTTCTGTGAGAACGATGGCGGAGGTGTAAAATCGGCGAAAGTCCCGATTTTGATTTCCAATAACGGCTACTAATTCTCAATACAAATCCTTAGTTACCGGGGTGTCTATTATATGGTCTCAGCTAGAACTAGGGAGTAATCTTAGGCCGCGTGACTACAGCATATACCACTTTACATTGTGAACATTATCATGATAAATGATGAGTCCAACATCACTCTACACAGATGTTTGTGAGGGGTGATGTAAAGTCGTGGGGCTCCATTCTACCAAGTAAGCCTACGTTGAACTAACGGAACGTGAGTCAGCAGCATGCTGCAGATGCTCAGAGAAGATGTGGACCAACACAAATTGCTTAAAAACTCAAACTACGTCTGCATCTTTATGAACATTATCAGAGAGTGTTCCTACCTGACTGTAGCCAGTTGTCGTTGAAGCCCTGGTAGTCTCTCTTTCAGGTTCTTAAGGTCCTCTGTCAGGACGTCATATGTCTCCGCAGACACATCCGGGTGGCTGTCATCTAACACCACCTTAAAACTCTCTCTCCGGTACTCCTTAAACTCAATCTCCAGCTCGGTATCATTGACCTGCTTCTCTAGATGCTCCTCCTCCCGGAGATGGTTATCTCTCCTCTCGCGCAGGTTCATCACTTCCGTTTCCGCTTTTGAACATTCCAGTTCTGACTGGCTGAGTCTGAAGGTGAGTGAATGGTATTTAGACCTTGATTCCCTCAAAGCTTTTATCTTTTCTTCCTTTAAAGTGTCCAAATCAATTATGTCAATTTTGAGAAATCCTGAATAGGTTTCATCCGTTTTCAGCCATGATGTCATCAGACTCAAAGCGTTTCTTATATTCGTACAAGCATCAGCGAAGATTACAAGGAACAGGACTTTATGGAGATTATGCTTAGAAACGAAATTTTCCACAGGTGGAGTGAGATGGGAGGTAGTGATCCCCTTTCCTTTGAACCGTCTGTAAACTTCTTTGGCGTTTGTCAAACTTAATTCAATGTTTGTACTCCAGGACTGAATCTGTTCCTGATAGTGAGCAGATGTTTCCAGATAACCTTCCTTCTCGGAGTTAGGATCATAGAAGCTCACACAGTACTTATTCATCAACTCACACAACTTCTGACACGAGTGGGTGACATCGCTGATCTTGTCGGGGAGATAACTCTTTAACTTGGCGTACACGTCATGGAAGAGCTGGGAGTTTTCTGCCGAGCCCTTGAAACCAGGAAGTCCGAATTGCATAAGGACGTCATCCACGTTAGTGGAGGAATTGCACTCGAAGATGAGGGCTGCTTTCATGATCGTCTTGGTCGGGTATATAATCTTCTCAATCTCCTGGTGGACTGTCCGTCTCCCGCCATAGTAGGACCTCTCTAATCTGGACAGGCACCTGTGGATGTGTTTGATCTCCATTGTAATGAGCTGTCGAACCTCTTTTAGACACCTAGGTGGGCAGGTTTCGAGTTGGCGAAGCGCGCTTCTCTTCTTATGTTGAGCTGACACGTCCCCCACCATCGTAAACGCCGCTTTAGTTGCCAGCGTCGGCATTCGGTGGTCCAGCACCGGCCGCAACTGCAACAAGATTACGGACAATTAGATGACATTACTAACCATTACATTTCTTGGATGCATAACAATTAGAAATATCCTCCTCATGCAATACACTTTCTTGTCTTAACGTTGTACTTTTCAAACCCCTTGTAACAGCCGTAAACTGAACTTTAAATCACCACTTTGTTCACTGAGGCATTGACCAATATGAAGCCACCGTGTGTGACGACAGGGACGTGTACTTGATTTCAGTGAAACTAAGACATTGACAACTACACTTCCTCGTGATCGATATTTGATCACGTGGTATACCTTTGTAGATTGCTAATGCGTTGCATTCGGGTGTTTATACAGACAACGCGTGCACATTTTGACAATAAGCCGCGTTAACCCCCTGGATGCCGAGGTTTTTTTCAAGGCGCACATTTTCATACGGTTTGAAAAGAGAACGTTGTGCGAGCATTGCGCTCGCGTGGTCCTGGATCTACGTACGGCTATAAATACGATACTCTTTCCATGCATATTCGAAAGGGTATTGAGCCATTGCAAGCAATGGATAGACGGATGAATGTTGGAAAATTTCAGAAACTGCTACGCGGTGTAAAATCGGAATTTGTCTTTGTTTACATTTCAAAGAAACGCAGTCTTTTGAGCACAGCGTTCGTTTTCACACCCAATATGTTTCGTCTCATTTTATCCAGACAGTTGGTATCGGTGACAAAGACCAGTTGCAATTTGATTCTAAAATGTTTGGGGAATTCAGTGATGCATATTTTCAGCTGAATATATGAGCTGAATATGAAAAATTTGTGATGTAATAGGCGTCTCAATACCGGCCTTCGCGAAACATGATTTTGTAAACACTATCCAGTATGGCGGAAAGCGTGTCAGTGTATTTTCGAAAACATCCCAACCGATTCTAGATTCATCGGCAACGTTTCAGAATTATCATTAGCAATTTCATGTAAAACTGATATCAGTGATCATGAATATGTTATTTTTGAAATTCAGTACTCCCAGTAATTATCCGATTGTCACATTTCAAGACATACAGCTGTGATAAAATAATGCTGTGAATCGGGATTTCGTACTGTGTCAAAAATGGCGACATTTTCGATGAAGCCTATTTTAAAGGTAATTTACAGCACTTGAGCTTTGTCTAAAATAATAGTGGATGGTATCAAGAAAAAGGAACTTTCCCGCAGAGTTCGAAACTATGAAGTGTATTTGTGTGCGTGGGATATTTTGATTTTTATTGGACTTCAAATTGAGGGTTGAAAGGGAAGGACATATATGTCCCTGTGGCACCCAGGGGGTTAAGTAACACTGAAAACCTCTCGTCAGGTCATTGTCAGGTCATAATCAGGTCATTATCAGGATATAAAGGTCCCGCATCGCACACATTATGCATGGCTTCATCCTTAATTGTTTTCTAATGCAGAGACCTTTATCACTAGATGTACTGTCACTTGTCCTCTGAGTCGTACTTGGTAAAATGATACAAGTCTGTATATAGAGACTTCCAGCTTATATCCCTACGTTTACGTTTCCTTATTGATTATAGGAAGCTCTGAATACAGTGATTGTACCGGTTCCCCCACAGACCAGAGCGACATTTCCCTGGCGAGAGCGACAAGCATCTAAACGTTCCCTCGGGTTTGACGCAACAAAGTTTATTATTTACAAGTCACTTGATGTTTTTTATTTCGTTCCAGTTGTCAATCGATTTCCAATACAAAACCAAATCTTGAGAAGCAGCATGTCATTTGGGTGTGCAAAACATCTGCTGTTTTAATTAGTTGATATTTACACACACGAATATCCCTTTCCATACAGTCTAACCAGCGTCAGATTCCTAGACTGGTCGCTTGGATTGTAGACGCTACCCGTCCGTGCGACGTCTCCCTGGTTGTAGAGACCACAGGGGGTAGAATCTACAAGGCAACAAACAATGGCGCTGTTTCTGTAGGATATCGGTTTATTTAAGTTATCTTGGGATTTCAGACGCTGATCAGATCGATAAGCCGTCATTGTTAAGCTGAAACCTGGTGTGCTTTTAGTCGGGTATCCATGTATCGAAGTTAATGGCTAAGCATTGTTAATATCAAAATACAATTCGTAAAAATTTACCGATGACGTCTCGTGATGAATACTGTATAGGAGTCCTTTAAAAGTTCATATATGAACGAATATATGACGCTGTTGCATATATATTGTCTCAACATGTAGGTGAGTGTGTGACTGAGTATGGTATGTATGTATGTTGTATTATATGTATGTATGTATGTATGTATGTTTGTATGTCTGTGTGTGTGTGTGTATGTATGTGTGTATGTATGTATATGTCTGTGTGTGTGTAGATGTGTGTATGTATGTATACAGACGGACGAATGGACGAACAAACGCATGCATGTCAGCAACGAGCACACATACACACATCACTGCTACGAGAACTGTTGGGGTAAAATAATGTAACAGAAGAGCTTGAAAACATCTTTCTCCTGATATCCATGAGGCGGGTCATTTTAAAGGCGTACTTAATCTGTGTGCCCCTTTCGCCAATTATAACACTATCAGAAATTCAGACCAATACTTCCGTGTTCGTGCGTGTCCAAGACACGCGCTCATTGGTTGACAGCTGGCTTTAGCTGGAACATCCGTGTACATTGGAACAGATGCGGTTTGAGTCGAGATCGATGACTAATATCTGTGACCGTTTGCTAATTTCCGTTTGATCGTCTGGATTAAACTACCAATACCACAACCCAAAATACTTGGCGACAATGTCTCAAGTTTACGCTATGAGTAGTCCTTGGGTTCAAAGGGGTAGGGATCGGGTTGCGCTATTCCGAGTGTGATTCAAGTCATCAAAAAGACCCGTGGATAAGGAATATATCTTTCCCCACTCTGAATCATATTGGAACAATATTTCTGCATGCATACTTTGATCCGAATCGGTAAGAATAGCACAGTAAGACACTTTCCAATTAATCTATAATAACAAAAGATGACACCGAGAGATATTGCGTCCAGATCCCTAAATTTCGGAGAAAGGTGTCTTCATGTGTAAGATAGATGTAACGCTTCGAGACCTGATCTAAAAGCATTGCACAAGAAAATATGGAAACTAACCTGCCTTTATCTATTGTGTACATTGTGTACGTTTATGCTTTGTCTTTGTGTGATCTTCAAAGTATATGACCAGTAAATAAAACAGGGGTAACACACACACACACACACACACACACGCACGCACGCACGCACGCACGCACGCTCGCACAAACACAGCTGGACATCTTATTAGTTGTAACCAAAACCGAGTTTACGGTGTTATACCCCACACTAACACACAGGTCTTCAAAGACTACTTCGGAACGATCTACACAAAGCTTGAAGCCTTATTACTTGACGCCCAAATAGGTAGATCTTAAAATCCAACATATACAACGTTATCGCAAGTGGCAATATATGCTATCGAACATAATATCGTTTTGACATGTTGCTGTCAATATGTAATTGATTGCTGTTAATGACAGCATGGATATTGACAGGCTGATACACACCTGAGTGATTAATGACCTGATATTGACAACAGGAGTCGATATCAATATACCTGCCGCTACGCGATGTTGTTTATTGCGTTTACAGTAAACAACCTCTGTCTCTACGGTCGTTAACTTCGAGTCGCACAGTGAGAATAGAAAAGAACCTCCGAATTAATAAAGCAAACGTTTTTAATTGTTGACACTGACTCCGTCCAGTACACTGATTACAATAAAATGAACTTAATCGAACTTCAGTTCAGATCTCGTCATTATAATCAGCGCACAACAATGTCATTGTTCTGTCCCTTTACGTCTGGTACAATTAGCCCAACTAAACACTCCACTTGATATACACGACTTTAATAAAATTTGGAGTTGTTTGTCTTCCAGATTTTGCTAAACACTTGCGCACTTTAACGTTTCAGTTACGGTATATTGATACATATTGGCAACTGTAAGAATTTTTGTAAAAATACTTGTAATAGATTTGGATGTACCTAAAGTGAATGAGTAAGTTCGGTTTTACACTGCTTTTGGCAATATTCTAGCAATATCACGGCGGGAACACCAGAAATGGTCTTCACACATTGTACCTTTGTAGGGAATCGAACCAAGGCCTTTGGCGTGACGAGCGAACACTTTAACCATTAGACTACACCTCCGCCTTACATACTCTAAGGGGGTGTACAAGAATCAATACACTTTGGGTCCTTACAGACTGTTGAATATAAAGAACCAAATATTTTCCTTGAACATAAGAAATTTATATTACAAAAGCCCCAAAACATCAGACGATTCGGACAGTTTCCAAGACTCGTGTATATGAATCAGTATTTTATAGTGATGATACTAGGTGTTCGCGAAAACGTGAAAGGGTCTTTCCTAACGGTGGCACATGCAAGCATGCAAGAACATATGTTTGTACGTGCCAAGATAAAGGCTTGGTGACTTGCCTGACCGTGTGTCATCGAGACGGCATCGATATGTGTTCATTATATCAATCATTGGTTTGTCACTGTCACATTAAGATTAGAATTTACAAATAGCATATCCATGTCCGAAGCCGAACCTATGTCTGAGATGACAACAAACGTTTTAACCTCTTGGCTATACATATCTCTAGTAAAATGGCCTTAAAATATACACACATTTCAATTCAAAATTCAAAAATGTGTACACAGCTGCCCCCCTCCCTACAGTAACATTATTTACTTGTATGACTGTCGCAACAGAATGAAACAAACAATATCAAGATGTGTGGCCAACAAGAGGCCTGAAGTAAAATGTGTATATGACAATGGTCTTCATAAGGTGCTAACATTAGATCTGTATACGCTATACCATAATGTTATTGTCTGTGGTCTAGTGGATTGGGCTTCTGCCCGGAGAGCGGAAGGTCTGTGGTTCGATCCCCGCAGCGTCACACCAAAAGGAGTTAAAAGCTGGCAATTGTTGTTACCGTGCATGGCTCTCTGC